GAAACGCATGTCCGTGTTGTCATGATCCAGAAATGCCAGTCTAACATCTTCTGGTCTGAAATATTCGAAAAAATTTGACATCGCAAAAATTTCGCAAAAACGATCCAAAAAAAAATTTCGTGGATCTGCAGCAGCAAAGATGTTTTCGCATTGAAAGCCACAGATAAAACGCTGTCAGTGGGAGAACTCCAACCGTTTTATGATTAATTTTCAGGCATTTGAACGGTAAATTGTCGCTGGCATATGTAAGAGAAACCCGCATTTACCCTGCGTTTGAATAAGCCTTGGAAGAAGAAACCATCAGTACCAATTCATGAATGCTGTCCGCATTTGCTAACACTGGATTACTTTCTGTCGTGAACGGAGCCCCTTCTCCAAAAATCGCCCTGGACTAGGAGAGAATCGAACCACCCATCTTCACGTCCAGGTGCAATGTGTTACCACTACACTACTGATCCTTGTACTCCTTGTTCAGCATGGTAGCACATCTACTGAATGTCTCTCTTTCACGACAAAATACACCCCCCTGTTCTTCTCTTTTTCTTTGTGGTGGCTTTTTAGTCGGCTTTTTGCAAGTTTCCCGCGACACTTTCCGAGTGCCTCTACCTCTCATCAAGAACGAAGATGAGAAGTATTTTTAATTGTTAAAGTCAGAAAAAAAATAGTAAATACAACAGTAAAACAATGACGCCATGATTTCTAATTTAATTAGAAATGTTTCAGTTAAAACTTACAAAGCCGCTTTCTCGGTGTTATACAAATTTATCAGATTCGGCAATTCTAACTGAGTTTTATTCACCACAATTACATTTGCTTCTTTTGCAGCAGTACTGAAAAAGGCCATAACGCCTCGTCTGCCCTGTTGATGTTCATAAAAAAATAACTTGTGAGTACTGTTTTCTGGAAGATAATCCACCGAAAAATCCTGAAATATTTCACATAAAACTTCGAGATCAAAAAGTGATAAGGTGTATTTGCTAAGAAAGAAAACAAGCAAATGGCTGATCTTAAAACAAAATTTTCCTGAATAAATTTTATATCAAATCATAACATAATGTTTGATGAATAAAAAATATATCATGTCATATCGTAGTTTTATAATAAAAGTGGCATCTCAAATGCTGGAACATCAATTCTTACCGATTCGAGCTGCTCAAAATCATATGTTGCTGATGCGGCATACTCCACATCGGGCTTCAGCCGACAGCTACAGCCCAGGCTAAGCAAAGCTCGAAACAGTGGTGGCACTTGCGATTCGTAAACACCCTCAATTCGCATTGCACACAGCTCCCTGTTCAACCGGCTGCAAAAATTTGTGGTATTATAAGTCTTCTGATGTTTTGCATGCGTTAAACATCAATGCTTTATGCAGATCTGTTCATGTGCGTGAATCAAAATCTGAAAATCGAATAGAATGGAAATGGTGTTAACTGTTTTGATAATTAGTTAAATTTCCAAGGTAGGTGCGGCGGACTTACTTTAAGCTCGACTCAAACACCCGCTCATCGATCGTATATCGTCGAAGATTAAAAATAGGCTTCAGCCGAGGAAGAATACGTTTCACCAACACACCGCCACTTCCTTCTTCCTCTCGGTCATTCACGTATATTACCCGTGGTACCCGCACATTCACTTTGACCATCCGACCCGATATTATAGACCACAGAGCAAGCATGCCCTTATTCGATGTTTTCGAGATCTGCAATTAAAACCCTGTTAGGCATTAGAGAAGCCAGTTCGCTTCCTGACACACCATTGCCTTGTTAGGAAGATTGCCCTTGGCACTTTTGCATTCAAATTTCTTAAACGCTGAAATAATTTTAGCCAAATCTGAAGAGATGATTTTCTCGGTCTCTTGATTATATTACTTGATTACGGTGCGAGGCTGCTTTATCAAGGTATATGGCCGGCTTCATTTTCTTTTCGAAATTCAATAACTGGAATTCTACGATCTGCTATCAGGGGAGTCTCAAATCGATTCTAAAAGTAAGCTCCAGACGCCACACACTTTAACTTTGTTTAAAAATCATTGGTCAGAATGGCGCAGTGGTAAGTAGCAATGATTTTATACGAAAAGGCATGAATTTGACTCTAGGAATGAAGCAACCACTGCTCATTCACAATTTGTTCATTCGTATCGATGACAAAATTGGTACTGAGTCAAAACTGTTAGCAACTCGCTTTAAAACAACTCTCTTAAGAGGTAGCTACTTGTGGTTCCTAGTACTATGGGCTACCGTTCGAACAACTTCTAAGTGCTTCAGTCTCGTGCAAAAAACAAATAATTGGCCAACGCACGGGCTGCCCGTGCGAAGATGCGTTTTTTGCATGGTTCCCGCAGTTTTTGTTGCTACCGGCACCGGTTTTTTCGGCAAATGCTTCTAGCTGAACAAATTGAGACTGGCCACCAGAACTGCCAGAAAACATTCCCTTTAAAATTTCAACTTCCTAGCTTCCCTGGTATCTGAGTTAGCAAATTACTGGAACAAAATTTTCACGGGTCCGTGCACGTTTACCAGGCACACCTGGGAGCTGGATTCAGGCTGAATGAAACCTAGTTGGACGGGGTACATCCTCTTAAAATTGCATTCCTTTGCTTTCTCAGGTACTTGAGTTATGAATTTACACGGAAAACTTTGGCGGGCCGTATGCGGGTACCACGCTTACCCGGGGGTAGGTTTGAGCCCACTAATACCCCCTTGGGTGGGGAACATTACCCCAAGTTTTCAGCCTTCTAGCTTCTTAGATCCCGAGTTATGAACTTGCGC